TAAAACATCTCTGAGTCTAAAATCAGACAATAGTAAACAGGAAACGTGGAAAGAATCACAAACATATCAGGTCCAGTTTCCTTGACTATGCTGAGACTCTCTAGTTAAACATTCCTGACATCTCCTGCCTTTAGAAACTCCATCCAACAAAGCTCTCTGCAAAATAGCCTCATCTGCTCTCATCATGCATGGAGCAACTCAAACCAACCTCTTCAAACTCTCCCTGCAGGCAGTGAATCTTCCATGACATCAACTCCCTCTTCTTTCTTGAGCCCTGATGTGTTTACACTGCTGGAAGCAAACATCTATATATATAATCAGTAGGTTGGCTTTAAATCAGTTTAATAGCCTCTAGATCTTCATTTGTCTCAACACCTAAGTCCCTGGGACCCCAGGTCCATGGCAGACTTGTGGAGTCCCCCAAAGAAGGCAGCTCTCCTGGCAGTGGGGAGAGAGAAGAGGAAGGGCCTCTGGGCCAGGAAGCCCTCAGATAGCAGTCATTTAGGCTGGTCATCCATGTGTCAGGGACCATGTTTGTTCAGTTTGCTTTATACACCACCTGGGAGCAGTGGTCTGAGTGGTCACACACTAAATCAGCTCGGACAGGCTGGAGCTAGAAACTTACATTTTTCCTTAAATGTTTTAAAATACAGCTCATACCACTATCACATTGTAAGCTTACAAATTTAAAATTAATTGGGAACAAAAGCAACCAGGTCCAACAGATTGTGTTTCTGAACAGATTAAGAGGCCAGAGAAATAAAACCATGCCTTCCCTGTGGTGAGGGCTTCCCTGCAGGCGTTTAAAATCAATCTTACCAAGATAGACTGGATGTGTTCTTCCTGCAGAAAAAATAAATTCAGAGATTTTTCACTTTGGTCTGGTAGAACCCCAGTGTTAAATTTAGCAATTTACAAGGTTGGTCATAAATCGTTGGTGAAGTCTATATAATCTTGCTCCAAATTGCATTTATTCTTTAAAAATATTACAAAAAGGAAACAACAAAATTCTGTAAAGCAATTATCCTTCAATTAAAAAATAAATTAATTAAATATAAATATATATTACAAGGTAGTTACTGTTTAGGATTTGTTTTTAATGGCTGTCTTACTAAAGAGTTCCATTTTTGTAACAAAGTATATACAAATATCTTCTGATCTGAAGTGGGAGTGTGGAGAAATCTCAGATGATGTCCAGCTATGAGCACTGCTTGGCTTCTATCATGTCTGCATATGTGAGCAGATCATGAGCATGTGGGCTGAAACTGGCATGTTGTATTTGCCTGGAGGACCCGTACTGCCTGCGGAAGAACTCATCATAAGTACAAATATGGTTAGGCAAAGAAGCGTGGCTCAATTTTAAATTGTCATCAGGAGGGAGAGCAATTCTAAAAACCACATGATGGCTGTCACCAAGGACTGAATCAAGGAACAGCACCAAGTCCCCACCCTCCAACTCCCCTTTCCATGGACACATGCCCGAATCCTAGGGAAAGCAAAGGCTGCAAGTAAAAACTGGAAAAGCTGCTCACCTAAATACATAAAACAATGGGAGGTTAAGTTACCCTGCCTGGTCACCCCTTCTGTGAGAGTTTCAAAGAGGAAACTTTGCAGTGGGCCAACAGCCATCACATGGTTTTGCCACCATGAGGGCTTCTGCAGCAGGCAGATGAGTGGGTGCCAGTGCCCCACGTAAGCACTGGGGCTGCAGGGGTGCCTGCAGACCAGCACCAGTGCCCATCTGATAGGGACTTACCCAGAGTAAGGGCCACACTGCTAGCACTGAGTGGCACCTGGACCAAAGCAGCACCGCCCTTGTGGCAACCATCTGGACTCCGCAGCCGGGGCCCTGCGAGAGCACAGGCAGCTGAGTCACTGCCAAGGAAGAGACAAGGAAGAGCCTGACCCTGCTCACCACGATATTCCACTCACCCAGGACCCTACGTCCCCTAGCTTTCTGCTGGTTTCATTCCACGCACGTGTCTAGCGGGGTTAGTGAATGAGGCAGCCTGTCAACCCACCCTGGGCTGCAGATGCTGTACACACTGACAGCAGGAAACCATCTCTACCCCTGTCCTGAGGACAGATGTTAGGGAGAAGTATGGCAAAAATCTCTATCGGTGAAATAAATTAGTTTACATCTATCTGATGGAATATAGTGCCATGAATAAAAACGATAGAGATCCACTTTCAGTGACATGCAAATATGTTTGTAATATAGAACAAATTAATAAAAGCAGATTAAAGATTGGTGGGATGATTACTCAACTGAATGCATTTGTCAACACTCATGGAACTGTTTACCAAAAAGAGTTAATTTTATTGTGTATAAATTATTCCTCAAAAAGAGAAGATTATAAAATATTTACAGAGGAATCCAATGTATGTATGTGTGTGTGCGCATGTGTGTGTGGCTCAGAAAGGCTTAATGCTAACAGTGACTCTCTATTCAATTAAGATGCATTGTATCCTGTTTTTCTTTTTGCTTAACTGTCTTTTAAATTTTTTCTCAGCTGAATAGGTGTTGCATTAACATTTTAAATTGTGAATAGGGAAGCACAAAAGATATTTGTGTTCAAGGACCAGCTCATCCAGGGTAATGAGGATAGCTGAGCCTTGTCCTGAGCAGTGCATCATGGGAGTTACCAGAGAAGGTTGATTTTAAGAAGCTCATAGTAGGTGCTCAGTACACGTTTCTCAGACAAATGAATAATTATAGTGGGTCATTTTATCACAAGTGTCTAGTTTAGTAATAATGATGCCACTTTCATTTTAGATCCAAAATATCAGCAGTGGACACTCATGAATATTTGAATCTCCATTAGAGTGAAGCCAACTAATCGCTTTCAAACCAAACAGCTACCCATACTCACATATGAGCTCTTTCCTTTTAACTTTCCTCCACTTGCCCTCATCCCCATCTCCTCCCCTATTAATTCAGGCTGGGAAATAAATGACCACAAGTACCTTGGTACCACATAATTATTAGGAAGACTGCTTAGGTATATCAAGGTAAAATGTAAAAACCAAAAAATAAGAACCCGTCTTTTTCCACAGACCTAGAAGGAGGCTACTCTGTTGAGAAGTGGCAGGAAAAAGTCTGAAACCAGTCATCTCTTTTGAAAACACACTGACTGCTTTAGTGTGTGAGAGATGATCAGGTCTTTCAGTAAACCTGCTGGCCTGACCGCCTCTTTAGGTCTGAGTGTGTGTGTGTGTGTGTGTGTGTGTGTGTCTGATTCATGTTGTATGTGGGAGTGGCAGGTGGGGTGTGTGTGTGTTAGACACCACACAGATGTAATCAAGATTACATTGGTGCATGCATGGAATTTGGGATCTACCTCAGAAGGCTCAGAATGTATTAAAATACCAAGGATATTTAATACATCGACTCAACCAGTTCTAGTTTTTTTCTAAGTGCTAAAATCTTACACACAATTTAGACCCAGATAAGTCATTAGATCATTCACTCATTTTGCAAATGAGAGAATTTCAGCCCACAGAGTAGAAGAAGGCTGCCCACATCCACAGGGAGCTGGCAGCACTGCTTACTGGCAAGATGAACAGGATGTGCCCTCTGAAGACAATGTCCATGTGCTTCTGAATAAGTCAGGGACATCACTGAGCATCCGCTCTGAACAATATGTTCCCCTCTGAAGCCTTCAGCAATCACATTCCTCTATTCATTCAGCTTTAACCACCCTCCCCCCACCCAACCCCAGGGAGATGTAGCCATCTGGGGCCTGAAGGCTTGTCCAAGCCCCATTTGCTAAATGAAGGCATTATCTGCAGAGAAAGACTCCTCATCAAAGACATGTTAATGACAAGCCAGAGGACTGAACACCAAGAATGGATCCTGGTGACATTGTGAATAAAGGGACATACAACAATGGAACCAGGGAGTGGGCATTGGGCTGGAAGAGCCGGGGACAGACCTGTGAATTAAGCCTGTACATTCCTCATCCTGGCACTCCAGCCACACTCTTTATGCCCACAGCCCTGCCAGGGGACCCATTCAGCCCCATGTCCCAGGCACCCCTGGGTCCCCACCCAAGGACCATTCTCTTCTGTGCCTCTGAGCTTTTGTGTGTGCTGCATCCTCCATCATGTATACTACGTCCCCCTTGATCCATCTGGTGAATTCCTCCTTGAAAATCCAACTCAGCCATCACACTCTTCAGAGAGGACCTATCCTTTCCTCCCAGCCAGCAGAGTTGCCACCTCTTCCCCTTCCAGGTGTGAGTACCCCTCACAGCCCTCCCTGTGGCTTTGGTAGCATCATTCTGCATGTCTCAGTCCCTCACTAGAGGGAGTTCCTTGAAGGAAGGCCTGTAGTAAGCCTGTAGTAAGTGTTAGCTGTCGACAGGTAAGTACAGAAATGGCTTTCTGAGAAAGTGTATTTGCTGTCTATTACCAAACAACAAATTTCCACAAAGGTAGCAGCTTACAACAATACACACTTGGTTCAGTTTCTGTGGGTCAGAAGTGCTGGCACAATTTCACTGGGCTCCCTGCTTAGGATTTCACAAACATCTACATTCTCACTTGGAGACTCAACTGGGAAAGATTTGATTCCATACCCACTTGGATTGTTGGCAGAATTTATTTCCTTGTGGCTGTGGGACTGAAGACCCAACTTCTTACTAGATGTGAACTCGAGGCCACCCTCGGTTTTTTGCCATGTGGCTTCCCAACATGGCTCCTAACTTCATCGGCCCAGCGAGGAGGTCTCCAGAGCAAGTCTGCCAGCAAAGCAGAGTCGTAGATAACACAGCACAGTCACTGAAAGGACATCCTTTACTGTGCTCTGTTGCTTAGAACCAGGTGATAGGTTCCACCCACATCAAAGGAAGGGGGTCATACAAAGACCCAAAAGTAGGAATCCTTGGGAGCCAGCCTACGGTCTGCTCACCACTCAAAGAATAGAGTAAATCTTGCCGATAAGTTCTTTACTTTGGTATAATCCCCCTTTTACTTTTCCTTTGGGTTCTGGCTTGCAGGTGGCTTCACAGCTGTTTGCAGATCTCTTCTGGGAGAAGATGCAGCGCCAGTGGCCCCACGTCCTGGGAAAGGAGAATCCATTCAATCCCCAGATTGAGCAGGTGTTTGGAGACCAAGGGGGGCACTGAGGCCCCAAGGACATGTGCTTCTGGGGAGGCAGCAACTTGGGTAAACTCATTCAACAAATGGTTATAGGGGCTGCTTGTCACAAACTCACAGGACCCTCTATAGCAGGATCTTGTTTTTCTCTCATTTGAGAGCTCATCTAAATAATGGTGTGACTCTGTGCTTCCAGGATCAGTGCCCCTGTAGCCCTCAAGTGACCTTGAATAAAGTGCTTTGGGTGCCATTCCGAGTGACAGAGTATCTGTCTGTGCCCTTGAGCGGCTAGTTGTTCTAAAAAATAAATAAGAACTCAGCTTGAGTGACGTTCAGCAACTTACCCAGGGTCTTGGTATGTCAGGAAGTGACACTCCTTCTGTGGCTGACTCCTTAAAGATGGCTCTTCCCAGGAAGGCTGCTGGCTGGCTGCCAAGGCCTCTCACACCAGAACACGAAACTACAAGCACAAAATTAGGTACAACTTGAATACTTATTTAGAATGAGACAAGAAATCACAACAAATTACAAATTTTTAGAAGTTAACAAATATAAGCTCCTCAAAGTCTAGGGGAAAAATGACAACTTTTCTTTATTTAAAAGATTTTCTTACATTCTTTGGCTATATAATCTGATCGCCTCTTCCTATAATAATGATGTTGTAATATGATTGTTTATAGATAGAACAGAAAAAACTTTTTCTTATTATTGATATTTATAAGAGTTTCTTCAGCTATACAACTCACCACTGGCAAAGTTGTATAAATTTCTACAATGGTTTTCAAACTGGGAAGACCTCAATCAAATTCCTTTTGTGGAGGGGTCATTAAAGACACACACCCTTTTTGTAGTGCTGGTAAAGCTTTCTGTTCACATAAGCACACATATAAGAATTCTGATAAATTCTATTGCACATCCTTCTCATCAATGTGTCACTTTCCCAGCGCTGATGGATATGGGGGTCCGTGTATGTGTGGCACCAGCATTACACCTCAGAGCAGGCCTGCCTTTCTACATTCTGCCCTTAGGAGCTTTCTTGGCACAGCCCAAAATGTGGGCAAGTTCCGGCCAGGGTCCTCAGGGACGGGTGAATAAAGGCTCCAATCTCTTCATTTAGTGCTCAGTTTGGGAATATATTCTGTGTGCTTCTCAGGGGGTCTTGACAGAATCAGCCTCGTTTGCTTACAGGAGCCATCGCCTTACATGACTCTTCTTCCTTCCTTGTGTCATTTTCCTCACTTCTCCTTTCCCACTTTTGGGGATTGCTCCCCAAATAAACCGTCTGCACATAAATTTTTGTCTTAATAAAGGTGAAGTTATAATGACAGTATGTGTATAATTGTGTATGCTTTATTACTTTACTATTTTTAATTTATTTATTTATTCCTGATAGGGAGACACTCTATTTTGTCCAGGCACCAGCATGAACCATATCTCGCAGTCATTGTATCCATGATCGGAAGAACTTACCCAGGACTAGCTCCCAGCTTTGTGCATTTCACACCTCATTTCTCCTCCATGATCCAGATACTTCCCGTGCCAGGAGCTGTAGTACGCTTTCTCCTCCTGTGATCTGACTGCTAGCCCTGCACTTTGTCCCCAGGCTGGTGGACAATAGGAGAGTACCTGGAAGTCCTTCCTGCCCCAGGATGGCTGGCAGTAACCTGCACAGAACTAACAGCTAACCACATACATAGTGCAACCTAAATGGATCTCCATTTCACCTTCCCCAGAATTCCCATGGCTTTTCCAGAGCCACGGATAAAAGGGAAATTGTGACAGAGAGGAAGCAGTTGTGTTTAAAATATCTTACTTTTGCCAATTTTACAAAGCATAGGACCCTGTGAACTCATTGTTGGGGCCCCTTCCAGGGCTTTGGAAGAAACTCTAAAACTTAATCTTTCTTAGACTCATGGTAAATCCATCTCTGCTCACAAGATTAATCTGCCAGGTTTGTGTGAGCTTCAGTTTGGGGGGCCAACACACTTAAAATATTGTCAATCCATTAATTTCTGCCACCTGAGTCAGATCTTTGGCTCAGAATGACCAGCATATGTCCCTAGGAGGTAGATCAGCAGGGGACCAACAAGCCTTCAGGAGGCTGCTTGTTTAAAGCAGGAAATACAAACTTGGAGAATAGATTAAAGATGTGAGGTGTTGGGCTGTGGTGGTGGTTTAGTTGCTAAGTCGTGTCCAACTCTTGCGACTCCATGGACTGGAGCCCACCAGTCTCCTCTGCCCATGAGATTTTCCAGGCAAGAATACTGGAGTGGGATGCCATTTCCTTCTCCAGGGAATCTTCCAGACCCAGGAATTGAACCCAGGTCTCCTGCATTGCAGGCAGATTCTTTACTGGCTGAGCTACGAGGGAACTTGGGGAATAGATTAAAGATGTGAGGTATTGGGCTGTGGACACCTGTATACCTGTCTCCTCCTGGTTCTGATGTTTCAACATTTCTTCTTACTTCTAAGCACTAAAATACCAACACTCGTGTTGTTGTTATTTTTTTTTAAATCTGAAATCTGAATCATTCAGTCTCAAAATATACCCACAGAACACTGCACTAAAATTTTGTATTCCTTTAGAAAGAATTCTATTCAATCCCCTCTGTTTAAAATGCTTCCAAGTTAATTCATTGCTATTCTAATTTTTATTTCCCAGAGTACCAGCAAAGTTGATCATCTTATATTGCTTTTGCTGTTGTTGGGGGCATGCAGAATTCATTTTAGGCCTTGATCTTTTTACAGAAGGCCCTGAAGGAATAGAGTTATTTTATTGGGGTAAACTAGAAGGGGGTATTGGGAGATTTAAAGGGTCCAGGGAGGGAGTTCCCAGGGAAGACTGACCTGAGTCTGATCACCTCCTGTCTCCCACCCCAGATGTCATCTTTGTCCTAGCTCCTTATTCCTATTTAAATTCTGTTAGAGACTGAACTCCCACCTTAGGGATTATTTAACCAGTTCCATCTTTCTCATTCTCCATGTGAACCAGTTCAGATGGGAGAATGGAGGCCCTTGGGTTCTGAGCCCTGGCCTCCTTCCTAGCACAGCAACAAGAAACCAAAGGATGAGAGAAGATGGTACTCCTTTCTCACAAATACTGCACAAAATAAGTACTAGGTAATATCACTACTGTCTCCACAAGAACTGGACTCCCAAGTCAGGTCCACTCCCTGGATTGGGAGTCCAGAGTGAGACATGTCCACTTAGGGCTCCATTTTCTATACTCCAGTCCAGACATGTTCTTTCTTTGAGATCCAACTCTGGCTTTCTCTCTGGTTTGAGGATATCCTGTCCTTGTAAGGTGTTGTGTGCACTTCTGATGACTTCTGAGTGTCCAGAATTTATCGTGGAGCCATGGGGGACAGCTTCTATCCCATATTTCTGTACTGGTGTCCCCTTGAGCTACTATCATCAGCCTCCAGTTTTTCAGAATCGTAGTGTGTGAGTGCTGCCCTCTGAGAGGCACCCCCTTTATTGGGGTAGCTTGCACCCCTCTCCATGCCCTTCCCCCAACCTGGAGTGACCTCCTAGAGACAAGCACCTGAAGCTGAACAGAAGCTCCAGGAGATGAGAACCTGGCCAGTCAGGCTCACTCTGTATCCACAGGCCTACAACAATACCTGTCCATGAAGAGGTGCTCGATAAGTACTACTAAGTGAAAGAATGAATGAGATATTAGAGTTGCTCTCCAGGATATACTTCCTTATATCTTGCTATTAGGCAAGGAGAATTTTTCTGCCCCATTTGAGTTAGTCCCATTGAATCACACTGCTTATGGTGAGAAAGGTAAAAAAGAAAAGCAATCAACACAGGGAATGCTTTCCTTTCTGGGCCCCCTTGGTGGAGAGGCATGATCTTCATCTAAACACGCCAATACTATATTGTCATTTGTTTCTCCTTTGTTCAGATTAAAGACTTCTCTTACCCTTTGCTATTGAAATTTGGTTTCTCATTTTCCACATGAATAATTATCAAGAACTTTTATCCCCACTTCCTGGGCATTTTTCATTTGGTAGAGCCTTTTGGGTTCAGGCTCTCATGGAAAAATAAAACTGACCCCCAGCAAGAACAAATCAGCTAAAAAAATCCTATCTGAGATTTGTATTGATACATAACAATGCAGGAAACATAAGAGACATGGGTTCAATCCCTTGGTAGGGAAGATCCCCTGGAGGAGGGCATGGCAACCCACTCCAGTATTCTTGCCTGGAGAATCCCAAGGACAGTGGAGCCTGGCAGGCTACAATCCATAGGGTTGCAAAGAGTTGGATACCACTGAAGTGGCTTAGCATGCACGTACAGAATGGGACCAGAGCCCCCAGGAATTTGCAGCAGCTACGCCACTCCACTCCCTCCCTGAATTAGTCCCACAAGAGAATGGATTCTGAACTGCAGTCTATGGGAACCACCTTCTTCCAGAATTAAGAGGGCCTATGAACTTGAATGGGAAAAATGTCTATAGTACCCTCTGGGTAAAATTCACCATTTCCTTTAAATATGAATGGGGCAACAAAACACTGTAAGTTTATAGCTGTATTGTTAGCAGTCTATCACAAATATTTTCACATCACTTTGTTGCAGAGGCAATCAATTTTCATTACTCTGGACAATTATGTTCTATAGTCACCTTGGACACTGAATTAGCAAATGCTGAACCGCTGGTCCTAGGGGAGAAAAGGGTTACATACCTGTGAGAATCTGGACACAGCATCATGGTCAATCAATCAATATATAATCTTTTTTTAATGTGTGGTTTTTGTTTAAAGACACCTTTTAAAATTTATAGTTGATTGATTGACATTGAACTCACACCCAACAGCCCTAGACCTCACGTTTGAAGGAAGCTTAATTACCCACCTATTTTCTTCATAAGGCACATCTTGGTCTCCTGCACTTAAGCACACAATGTAGCACTTCAGCTCTCACTCAGGGCCCATTTTAAACAGTGGAATCACCAACGGAAAGCATCAGTTCAGTTCAGTTCAGTCGCTCAGTGGTGTCCGATTCTTTGCGACCCCATGAATCGGAAAGCATAAACATGACCAAAATGAAGCAGTAAATACATTGTAGAAGGGACTCTTGTTTTCAGTGTGAGAACTGAAACAAGAAGTCAAAGTCCTGCCTTGTTTTCAATCTAAGCATGGGAACATGCAGGTCAGGTGATGGAAATTTCTCATTGTTCAAATGACCTCAAAAGTGTCATGAGTGTTAACTGGGAGGTTACAAATAAATTTTAGCCAGTACATGAATTTACAGATCCAGAATTTGTGAATAATGAGGGATGACCATATCTCGAAATATCATTTATGGCCATCAGTACTTTGAAACACCTGTAGTTATTAGATCCATTGTAAAAGAAGTACAAATGGGAAGAATGGGTACATGCATATGCATGGCTGAGTCCCTTCACTGTTCATCTGAAACTACCACAACATTGTTAATTGGCTATACCCCAATAATGGATGTCCATTTTTAAATATTTCAAAATATTTTTAGTACTGTGATACTTTGTTTCGATATGAAGAGTTTCTTTTGTAACCCTTTGTGTTTGCAATTTAAAATGTTATTCTGAGAAGGGATCCCCAGCTTCCCCAGTTTGCCAAGGGGCTGCATGACACACACAGAGTTGTATGATCTGGGATGTGTTGCTTTGAGAAGGAAGAACTCCACAGTCTAAAATGTCTGGAAGCACAGCAGAATTTCTCTGCTTCCTGGGAAGTCACAGGGTGAAAGTTCTACAGTAAAAAGCTCTGTTTAGCTCATCATTTACCCAACATTTTTGACCAAGAGCCCCTTCTCCTCAAAGGAGAGCTATTAACACTCTGTGGTCATCATGCTCTACAGAAACACCTTGGAAGATGCTATTTAAAGGAATTAACCTCTAACACACTCACCAGTAGTATCAAGAGAGAATTTCCCAGGTATATTTAGACTAGAACCCCCACTCCTCATCTCTTGAGTAAAGCAGGATGTCTTTGGAATTCCTCTCATTGCAACAAAAGCTTTCCTGGTAGAACTAAAAATGACTAAGGCAGCACTTCTCCTATGCCCTGAGACAAATGTATAGATTTCCTGATAAATGAATGCATCAATATGCTATTAACATGTCAGTTTTCTCATTAAATCTGATTATAGAATCTGTGTTTGCTTAGCAGGATGAACTCCTCAAATCTGATCTGGAAGAGGGTCTAGCATAAATATTCATATAAACCAGGGCTCTTTTAATCTGGTCCTTTACTTGGGGTAAAGGAGTTGGGGGGTGGTTTTAAACACTTGCTTTAAAAGCTTGCTTCTGGGTCACTTCTTAAAACTGCAAAACCAAAA